ATTGGGAGATAATTGGCGTTGGGAGATAATTGGCGTTCACCTCTAGAATATGTACCAAATAGTGCTTTTTAGAACCCATTTTCAAGGCAAATTAGCACCAAGTGTCGCACCGATCTGGAAATTTCCTGTATAAACTGTTTGTGGAGAATGACAGACAGAAAAGACTTGATCGTCATTTTTAAGCAGTGAAGCCATGGTATTTAGAGGTGCAGAAGGAATTATTTCATCCATGTTTGATCTGTTAAAGTCGGGATTTTAAAGCCAGTTGGCTAGAGTCCCAATTAAACTTGATTTGGACACTCTTGGAATACTGACCCCCAAATTTTCCTAAGAAACAGGTATATTTTATATGTTCCTTTAAAGACTACAAGAGTTATGTTATGTAAAACAAATAAAGTAATGATACAATATTTCATTGCGGAAATCTGCGGCTTATAAAGGGTAAAAAACCACGACCTTCACCTCAACAAAAGAATACAAAGCTATGTAACCTAAGGAATTATAAACTCTAAGTCCTAGATGCCAACAACAACCTAGATTGTCGACCCAACTTCAAGTTATGAATTCAGATTAAAACTCTTGCAATCGTAGGAACTAGCTCTAATTCCTAAACTCCAACACAAACCCCCCAAGGTTTATGTTCCCAAGTCTTTAAGTCGCCCCAACTTGAAGACACTATTCCTACTCCAGTTTATACTTCATTGGATCAAAAATACAACTCGATAAAATCACAATACAAGAAAACTTGACTGAAGAACTATAAAACATATGTCTATGAATATGGATCAGGTTCTTCAATCTTGTTTCCTTGCATTCGATGCACTTTGTAATATAAAATCACTCAAATATAAACTCCCTATATTTGATTGTATTCTGCTTGTAACTCTCTGTTTAAGTGCACAGGTTTCTTTGGAGTAAATCTTGCCTCATTTATAGATCAAGGATCTTTCCTTCTTCAATTGGATCTCGGTTACTTTTGTAGTGGTTCCTACTTCTTGTAGGATTAGGCATCCTATTTTAAGTAGGTTATTCATTATGTGCTTCCTCTTGTAGGACTCCTTTATAAAAGGAAACTTTCTCTACTGGTTTCTTGTCGAAAAAGCAATCCCTCCACTGTTTTATAACTTCTAATTCGCGTGGTTGACATTCTCCTTATTCCAGTCGGATACAGTCTGAAAGGAACATGTCGACGCAACCTTCTCCTTTCATCTGTTCCCTTATTTGTCAATCATCAAAATCTTTCTCGATCTAACAGACACTCAATAGGCGACGGTCTAGTAACTTCAAAAGAGACATTGACATGTTTTGCAGGACATGGTTTGTTCAATCTTATATTTTACACAAACCCCACGTCAACCTGAAAGTTATCAAGTGACTCGGAAATGGGTCCAACTCGGTTGTAGCAGATAAGTATCAGCTCTATTAGCACATATTGTATCACATCAAATTAGCATCAAAGAGTCGTATCAGCTGAAATTTTGTGCGAAAGAGTTGTATCAACGTTGACAGCTACATTTCGTAAATAAAATAGCTACATTCATTTTTTTAAACTATAGCTACATTTTGTAAATACGATATAATTATATGTTTTCTTCAAAATATTGTATAAAGACTTGCAAGAGTTCAAGGCGCTACGAACTCGTGCAAATCTGTTCACAAAAATCATTACAGACATGTCACTTCCGTGTGAGATTCTAAGATGAACAACTCTACTAAATTCACCATTTTACTTCCAATGGTAATTTTTTTGGTCTAAAATTTTTTATGTTGTTTGGCTAAAATGGAAAAATAAATATTTATTTTGACTCAACTCTTAATTTATCACATACTTTAGATAGAATTGTGAAATACTATTTCTGAAATTTGAGCTACAATTCGTAGGAACGAAGAATAAATATTTAGCATGTATAACTTTCGGGTGTATATGTATATCCCTTATATATGTGTATATTTATGTATATCTGTCTGTAATATACATGAATATCAATGATATACAAGTGTGACACATTTTTCTACTCGATTTCAGTTACTATTAATTTGGACTCTGAACCAGCTCAAATCACCCTTAAATCTTCTCATATCAATCAAACCCACTTAAAAGTTCCTTTATTCATGGAAAATGATAATTTGCAGTTACTATGTAAATTTTCCCCGTGAAGAAAGGCCCAACCCATCATTTTAGCCAGAGTTTAGGACTGAAAAGATGCACTTTTTTTTTTCCACTTCAGTACCCATATTGGAGTTTGACTATATCTGGATTTGCTCTACATAAGCTCCATTCATAGGGAAGTGCTCCCTACAAAGGTTTTTTTCATACTCATGGTTCAAACTCAAGACCTCTCATTGAATAAAGAGCAATCTCATCCACTGCACCACATCCTTGATGAATATTTGTTAGCTCCATTTTTTTGTTAATTGGTTGAAAGTTAAATGTGTTTATTTCAAATTAGTAGAATTAGAGGTGAATTTATTTGTAGGGTTTCTCTAGTGATGGTCTTTTCGGAACAAGGTAAAAAATGTTCTTAAATTATACTTTCTCTATTTCAAAAAGAATAACCTAGTTTGACTTGGTACGACCAACTTGGCAAGTGTATTTTGGATAGTGGATGCCTAAAAGAATAACATGAGCCTTCATGAGGTTAGCTGGTTAGGCAACTGATTGGTGACTACATGCAAAATAGATACGGTCTTATTAGCCTAAATTATAGATGTCTTTTTTGGGTACGCTTAATTTAACTTATATAAATTGATAATGTAAAGAATAATAATGCTTATTATAGAATTAATTGAATTAGGAAAAACTACAGAGCTATAATATATAGATAATATGGCGATACTTTCAGAAAATTATCTAACATAGCTATATATTAGGATTTTATAGTAAATCTCTCATCTCTCTTCCTCTCTCACTCGCCACTCTCCGCCTCTCTCTCTCTCGCGTGAACTTCCCTCTCTCCTCTTAGTTCTCTTCTCGACCTCACTCCCGATCTCCCTCTCTACAATTCCTCAGAGCCACAAAAATAGGAAGAGAGACAGTATAGAAGGTCCATAAACAACGATAACACCTAAGAAAAAGCTCAGACTATTGGACTCAAGTCTACTATTCCAATCTACAAGGACCTAGTCTGTTCGAATCGACGTCAGAAACAAAGCAAGCCACAAGGTTTGAGAGTCTAAGGCAACACTAGCCTATCTTAGCCTAAGGCCAAACATGCATCAGAAAACAAATAAAACTCATGTAATTTCACATAGCATGCAAGTCACATAACCAACCTTAGTAGCATGGTGCTACCCTTCATACAATAGTAATAAACCCTAAATCATGGGTTCTAAGAAGAAAAGCAGAAATATCTTGGTACTGGCCCCCAATTCACACTGATCATCATGAATTTATGCATTCATGCTCAATCTAAATAAAAAAAGAAGTCAAAGACCACTTGTAGGGCAACCCCACATGCTCTAAATCACAAGACCAGAGCTTTTCCTTTCCGAATGACCTCTGAACACTGCCACACTATATAGAAAAAAGGATCACAAAGTAAGTACGATCGTTTAGACACTAAAAACACATAAACAAAAATGGACCAATTTAGAGTCCAATGGGAATTGTGGGATCCATGTTGGGAATTCTAGAATTGACTCCTTCAAAAGGTCCTAAAGTATGTCTCAAACTTTTTTCCAAAGTTGAACGCAATTTAAGGCCTGAAGCAGCCACAACAACAACATGCAAAGAAAGCACAAAAGTCAAGCTAAAGAGACTTGGGAAAGCAGCTAAAACACCAATTCTACCTCGAACGGGGGCTCACCAACACAACCTAATCATACCACAGTGTAGCCTCAACATTTACAGATGAGTCGAAATTTGAATCACCCAAATCTGACTCAAAATGACCAAGAAATCGCAAATACACCTCTCCAACTAATTGTTGATTGCATCTCTCTTTATTTATAAAGACATAGCTCAACTCTTTACCGCATTCACGAGATGGAGGCTCGTGATCGTGACTCATTAAGAGGCTGACCATCACGATTGCGGAGACCTTGCTTTGCGATGACTAAGGAAGGTCAATTGTTCATCGTGATCACGATAATGAGCCACGTGGTTGTGAAGCACTAAAGCCCAGGCCTTTGCGAACGCGACCAAGGGGCAGATTATCACGAAGAGCAAATTGTCCTACACCAGCTGATGCACATCAACTAGTTTTTCCAAGTTCCAAATCTGCGACAGAGTGCTTCAAATTTGTTCGGAACCCCGTACACCCAAATGAGATATGCAACCCAAAGAAATTTGATATTCCGGACTTAACGGAGTAGTCAAAATTCACATACGAGGTCATATTGATAAAAAAGTAGGTCCCACACCCAAACTCCATTTTATGTCAAAATCCACTTGGGGGCTTGAAATTAGCCCGAAGGCCTCGAGATCTAAATGAAGGATCATTCTAGACCAAACTCAACATTCCCGAGCTAACCATGTTGACGCAATCCTCATCCGAGCTTGTTTACCCAGAAGGTTGACTAAAGTCAAGTTTAGGCTTCAACTTGAAAGTTAAAATTCCTAATCGCACAAACTCCCACTGAAAAACCTCGGGAGTCTATGTTACCAACCTAAAATGACCCTTCTAGAGCTGATGGAAGCATCAGAATTGAATTCTGAGGTCATATTCCTGAACTTCTGATAAAAAAAGACCGTGCAAGGTTTAAAAGCTCCCTAAACACTAAAACTCGCACAAAAACTAAACGAATGACCAAGTGACCAAACAGAAAGCTCTAAATGACGAAAATGAGGCATAAACACACAAATGACCAGGATGTTATTGCAACATCCACTACTAAAAAAAGACTGTTATTCGTGAAAAAAAAGGTCAAGAAGTACTTGAAGGCTCAAACAAGTTAGAAAATTGCTCCTGCATATCATGCTCGGTCTCCGAGGTAGCCTTCTCAACTAAATGATGTATCCAACAAACCTTAACCACATGAATAGCTCTCAAAGGAAACATCTACACATCTCTAGCAAGAATAGCACCTAGCTCCTCTACAAAGGTAAAGCGATTATCCAATTCTAATGCACCATACTGGAGCACATGAGACTCATCTGGAAAATACAGACGCAACATAGAAACATGAAAGACCAGTGGGTAGTTGAGAACATCAGAGGTAAAGTTAACTCATATGAAACCTCCCCAATTGTCCGAGAGATCTCAAAAGGCCCAATATACCTAGGGCTAAGCTTGCCCCGCCTCCCAAATCTCATCACTCCCTTCATAGGAGAAACACGGAGAAAAACCAATTGAGAACCTCAAAGGTCGATGCCTATGATCTGCATAACTTTGGTGTGTACTTTAAGTTGTCTGAAGCCTATCCTAAATCACCCTCACCTACTTCAAAGCCTCATGTATCAAGTTAGTGCCATGTGGTTTAGGCTCTGTAGTCTCAAACGAACCAACTGGATAACGACAACACCTACCATATAAGGCCTCAAACAGGGCCATCTGAATGATAAAATGGTAGTTGTTGTTTTACACAAACTCCACCAAAGGTAATAACTGGCCCCACTGACCTCCGAACTCCAATACACAAGCCCACAATGTGTCCTCAAGGACCTAAATAGTACGCTCTAACTGACCATTAGTCTGCGGGTGGAAGGTTGTGCTAAGGTTAATGTGAGTACCCAACTCATCCTGAAAGGTCCTCTAAAAAACTAGAAGTAAACTAAGCATCCTGATCTAATATAATATAAACTGGCACAACATGAAGACGAACCACCTCATAAATGTAGATACGGGTTACCCTCTCGGTGCTGAATGAAGACTGAATAGGGAGAAAATGTGTTGACTTGGTTAATCAATCAATAATGACCCAAATGCTAGCAACACCTCTAGCAGTTCAAGGCAAAACTATCATAAAGTGGATTGTGATGTGATACCACTTCCACTCCGAAATGGGTAATCTTTGAAACACACCACTAGGTCTCAAATGCTCCACATTCACCTGGTGGAAACTAAGACAACGGGACTCATAATCTGCAATATCTCTCCTCATACCGCCCCACCAGTAATGTTTCCTTAAGTCATGATACATCTTTGTGGTGCCCGGATGAATTGAATGTCTAAAATCATAGGCCTCACAAAATATCAACTGTATCAAACCTCCAACTCTCGGAACATAAAATACGGCCTACAAACCTCAAAACCCTGTCTAAATCAAAGATAACCTGACACGAATCACTCGTTAACACCGGATCTCGAAGTGCCACCAAGGCCTCATCCTCAAACTGACGGCTTTAAATCTGATCAAGTAGAGAGGACTAAACTTCCACATAGGCTAAAGCACGCCTAGAATCTGAGACATCCAATCAAACCATCTAATTATCTAAGGATTGAATATCCAAACTTAGGGTCTCTCCACAGTAGATAGGAAGGCTAGACTACTCATACTCACTACCTTCCGACTCAAGGCATCCCCTACTACATTCACCTTTCCCGGATGGTAGAGAATAGAGAGGTCATAGTCCTTCGAAAGCTCAATCTAGCAATGCTACCTCGAATTAAAGTCCCTCTGGCTCATAATATACTAAAGACTTATGTGATCAGTGTAGATATCACAAAAAACATCATACAGGTAATGCCTCCAGATCTTAAGTGCAAACACTACCGGCACCAACTCCGAGTCATGAGTGGGGTAGATGTGATCATAATGTTTAAGCTTCTTTGATGCATAAGAAATAACCTGGCCACTCTACATCAAAACACAACCCAAATCGATGTTGAATGCATCACAATAGACCATGAAGCCCTCTCCATCAACTGGAAGAGTCAATATAGGCGCAATAGTCAGCAACTCCTTGATCTTCCAAAATTTCAACTCACACTCCTCAGTCCACTCAAAAGGCACATGAAAGTGAGTCAACCAAGTCAAACGTGCAGCAATGGTGGTGAAATCCTCCACAAACCGTTTGCAGTAGCCTGTCAAACTGATGAAGCTCTGAACCTTAGTACTTGAAGTAGACTTTGTCCAATCATGAATAGCCTCAATCTTAATCGTAGATACCATGATGCTATCCTTAGACACTATGTGCCCCAAGAATGCTACAGACTCAAGCCAAAACTCGCAATTTGAGAACTTTGCATAAAGTCATTGATCTCTTAAAGTCTGGAGCACAATCCTTAGATGTTGCTCATGATCACTCTTCTCTGCAGATATACCAAATGTCATCTATGAACACGATGAAGAACAAATCAAGACAAGGCCTGAACACTTGTGTCATAAAGTCCATAAAGTCGGCAGGGGCATTAGTCAACCCAAAAGACATCACTAGGAACTCATAGTGGCCATATCGAGTCCTATATGGTCTTAGGGATGTCTGCTACCCTAATTTTCAGTTGATGGTAACCAGACGTCACATCAATCTTCGAAAAACATTGTGGCACTGTAAAGCTAGTCAAATAAATCATCAATCCTAGGCATGGATTAGCGGTTCTTCACAGTTACCTTATTCAACTTCCTATTATCAATACACATACGCATCATATTGTCCTTCTTCAAAAAAAGAATGGGAGTGCCCCAAGGTGATACACTAGGCCTAATGAATCCCTTACCTAAGAGATCCTGAAGGTGAACACTGAGATCCTTGAGCTCTATAAGGGCCACCCAGTACGGCAAATTAGAAATAGGCCGAGTACTCGGCTCAAGCTCAAAAGGAGAGTTAGTATCATGCTCTAGGGGTAGGCTAGGTAGGTCGGTAGGAAACACATCTACAAAATCTCGGACAACAAGCACAAACTCAACTGAAGTGACCACCCTACTCACATCCCGCACATAGGCTAAATAGGACAGACATCTGCTAGCCACTAACCTCCGAGCCTGAATAAAATAGATCATTACTACCGGTGTGCTACTAATAGAGCCCTGCCACACCACCGGAGGAATACCAGGCATGGCTAAGGTAACAGTCTTAGAGAAATAATCTAAAATTGCATGTTAGGGGGATAACCAATCCGTGCCCAGAATCACATTGAAATCCAACATATTTAACAATACAATATCATCTCAGGTGTCACGCCCCTAGATAGTAACTAAGCAAGATCAAAACACTTGATCCACTACTAAAGACTCACCCACGGGGATCGACACACGTAACAATGCTTCCATAGGCTTAGAACTCATACCCAAAATGAGAAGAATAATACACACACACAAGAATATGTAGAACCAAGGTCAAATAAAGTCGAGTTTGGCTGATGGCATAAAAGAATCGTTCATGTGATCACATCATCTGATGCCTCAGCCTCAACCCTCACTGGAGCTGTATAGAAATGACCCTGCCCGCCTCTGCCCTTGCCATCAGTACCTCCCTGGGAACACCCAAAATACCTTTGTTTCCACCACGATGGTCGTGACGCTAACCTCGACCCTTAGCTGGAGATATTAGAGGTTGTGCTGGTAGACTTGGTTGTGGAACTAGATCAATCCGTCTATGCAAAGGGAAATCTTTGGCTCAGTGACCTAACTCACCACAATTAAAACAACCTAAAGATATTCTACTCCCAGAAGAATGGCCACCATGGCATGAAGCATTAGCCTAGGACCTATGAATCTGGGTAGATCCAATCTCACTCCAGCTATACTGATCTCTATCTAAGCTTTGCCATATAACCTGAACAGGCCGAGTGGGTTGTCCTTGCTGAAATCGCTATTGAACCCTATCATATGCCTCTCTAGGCCTAGAGCAGGACCCACTATAGCTACCCCCATGTCTTTCTCTCTTGTAACTGCCCCCATGGGCCTCACGATGTAGCTCATCAATAATATACAAAATGCAGAAAAAAGTGACCTGCGGAGACAGGGACTAAGTCTCAATCCAAAGTTGGAGACTCAATCCATGAACAAAACACTGAAGGCTCTCCTCCTCAGTAGGTAAAATCATAGTAGCATGACGAGAGAACTCGTGAATCCTCACTTCATACTTTGACACGGTCATATAGCCCTACTCCAACATAGAGATCCGATCCCAGAGGTGATCTCTGACGCTGTGAGGGATGAATCAGCCAAGAAGGGCTTAGAGAACTCGGTCCACGTGACCGGAGGGGAACCAACTACCCTGGTCTCAATAAATGTACGCCCCCATTGTCTGACCAGGTCATCAAGCTGATATGTAGTGAAGTCAGCTCTTCTTGACTCCACTAACCCCAAGATATGAAGCCGCTCCCGGCAGGTAATAAGAAACTCGTGGCATCCTCACTCACAGCCCTAAAAAAACCTTGGATGTGAAAGTCTAAAGAATACTTTAAGCATTTTTTGGTCCTCTAGTAGCATAGCTCTGGCCGCAATCACGAGCTAGGCACCCCAGGTGTTACTTGGGCCCTAGGTGACTTTGTTAAGTAACCAAGAACCAGCCAACTCCTAGACCAGCTAGCAACAGTGACAATCAACAAAACCAGTCAACTCCCAACTCAGCTAGCCAGAATGAAAACCGATCTAGGCCGCCCAACCAAACAGTCCACTCACATGGGCATAACTCCTAGCTAGTAAGAATGACTTGGGGACGTGTCGACTCTGTAGAGGATCTCAGATACCAAGGCCGCCCAACCAGCCAGTCCATTCCAAGGGGCATACCACCCAATTAGCAAGAGTGACTCGGGGGCATATCAACTCCGAAGAGGACCTTAAGTAGGCTTCAAACCATCGTGGATCCATTTTCACACCCAATGGTATCAATAGAAAGCTCCCAGCCAAGCACAACTCAATTTCCAAACATCGCAATAGCACGAACCTCCGGTAACACCTCAAAGCTGAAGAAATACAGAGTGAGAGTATAGAAGGTCCACAAGAAATGATAATGCCTAAGCTAAGGCTCAAATTATCAGACTCAAGTTTGCTATTCCAATTTACAAGGACCTAGTCTGTCCAAATCGACGTTAGAGACAAAGTAAGCCACAAGGTTCAAAAGCAATACTAGCCTATCCTAGTCTAAGGTCAAACATCCATCAGAAAACAAATAAAACTCAAGTAATTTCACATAGCATGCAATTCACACATCCAACCCTACTAGCATGGTGCTACCCTCGATGCAATACTAATCAACCCTAAATCATGGTTTCTAAGAAGAAAAGAAAAAATAACCAGGTACTCCCATACATGATAATCATGAATTTACACATTCATGCTCAATCTAAATAAAAAGTAAGCAGTAGCCTACCTCTAAGTCAACCACGTAATCTCAAAATCATAAGGCCGAAGCTTTTCCTTTCTAAACGGCCTTCGGATGTTGCCACACTATCAAAAATGGGATTACTATGTAAGTACAGTCATTTAGAAACAGAAAACACATAAAATGGAAATAAACCAATGTTCGAGTCAAACAAGAATTGTTGGACCCGTGTCAGGAATTCCTGAATTGACCCCGTCAAGAGGTCCTAAACTATTACCTCAAACTTGTGTTCCAACATTTAATGCAATTTAAGGCCCAAAGCAGCCACAACAACAACATGCAAAGCAAGCACTAAACTCAAGCTACATAGGCTTCGGGAAGCAACTAAAACACCAATTTTACCTCAAACAAGGGCTCACCAACACAACCTAATCACACCACAGTGTAGCCTCAATAATTACAGTTGTGTGGGACTTCGAATCACCCAAATCAGATTCAAAATGACCAAAGAAATCACAAATACACTTCTCCAACTAACGGGTGATCGCGTCTGTCTTTATTTATAAAGACAGACCTCAACTCTTCACTGTGGTCGTGAGAAGGAGGGTCATGATCGTAACTCATTAAGAGTCTGACCATCGCGATCGTGGAGAGCCTACCTCTCAATCGCGATGACCAATAAAGGTCAACATTTCATTGCGACTGAGGAAACGGGCCACGCGGTCGCGAAGCACTAAGGTCTAGGACTTCGTGAACGCAATCAAGGAGTACGTGATTGCGAAGAGAAAATTGGCTTGCACCAGCTGATGCACATCAGGTGATTTAGTCGAGTTCCAAATCTCCAACAAGGTGCTCCGAATCCATTCTGAACCCCCATACACGCAAACGAGACAAGCAACCCAACCATTTTCAATGTTTGGACTCAGCTGAAATTTTGAAATTCCCAAGCGAGGGCATCTCGGCAAAAAGTGGGTCTGACACCCGAATTCCATTTTAAGTCAAAATATGCAAGGGACTCTGAATTAGCCCAGAGGCCTCATGATCTAAACGAAGGATTGTTCTAGACAAAACTCAACATTTTGGAGCTAACCTTGCTGACAGAATCCTCATCCGAGCTTGTTTACCCAGAATGTTGACTAAAGTCAAACTTAGGCTTCAATTTGAAAGTTAAAGCGCCCAATCGCACAAACTCGCACTGAAAACCTCGGGAGTCATGACAACTATGCTACTAGCCTAAAATGACCATTCTCGAGTTGGTGGAATCGTCATAATTGGATTCTGAGATCTTCTTCATGAAATTCTGGTAAAAAATGACCGTTTAATGTTCAAAAGCTTCCAAAATACTAAAAGTCGCACAACAACTAAATGACCAACTAGGTGACCGAATTGGTAATCCTTATAAGTCATAAATGACCTTGGGTCACTACAAGAAAGCTCTAAATGACGAATAGGAGGCATAAACATAGAAATGACTTGGAGGTCATTACATCAAGTACTGAAGTTAGGGATGGGCATAATAACCGAAAAATCCAATTCAAACTAATTCATTTTTTTTGTTTTTTGGTTCGGTTTTAATTTTCTTTTTTCAAATGAAAATTTCTTCAATTCGGTGCTCGGTGTAAGGGTCACAATTTTTTGGCGCACTAAACAACCAAAATTTTACTAAAATAAGTTTTAAAAAGTATCACTCAACTCATATTTGGCAGAAACCTTTCTAGACCAAGCCCCAAAACCCATACCTAATTACCTCATCCAACATTTTTCTTCCAGCCCATTACATTTACAGTTTCCTAATTGTAATTCCTAATTTCCACTAAGCATTGGGTAGAATAAGATGATATTTTTGAAGTCTTCTAACATTAATTGACTCTTCTCTCATTTTTTTTCTTCATTATTTTTCCTT